GAGGAATGTTAGAGCAATAAGATGGTTGCTCAGTTCAGCCATCTTGACCTTCAGACATCAAGATATCCAAAATAAATTATTTTTCTGAGCAAATAAAATATCTTTCTAAAGTCTGGCAGTGTTAACTTTAGCATTGCACAAGTACATGGTTGGCTGGTATATATCAAATGAATTAACTCTTCCATTAAAAAACAGAGTAAGGCTTAGGAACAGTCCTTGGCCTAGAGTGTTTCACCAAGCTACAAGGTCGTGTTAGATGTGGACTCATGCCAGCTTAGCCATTCCTCCTATTTGCTGCTCTTTGCTCCCCTGCAGGAGGCTGTGGCTCACTGGATTGCTGAAAGCCGCATTGCCATTGAGAAGATACGTTTGTTGATCCTGAAAGCCGCAGACAGCATTGACACCCTGGGCTGGGCTGGCACTAGGAAGGAGGTGAGGCCCCTTGGACCACTGTCTGCCAAGCCTTCTTCAGTTTCTTTCACCCACTGGGCATTTCAGGTTTCATGGTGGCTTGATGGCACTCAGAATATTGAAAACAATTTCTGTGATTTTGGTTTCAAGATTATAAACATATGTCACTTGCTAGTTTTCCTTTCACTTGCCTGTTTTAGGGAATGATTTTCAGGATATAGAACATCTTCAGCATTCTCGAGATGCAGCAACAGGGAGGAGGGAAATCCAAGACTATACAGACTTGGAATTATACCCAGTATGTCACTTTCTGCCATGTGGCCTTGGGCAAAGTATCTGACCTTGCTACCATGTAGTATAAATGCTTCATAAAAGATGCCTCTCATCTCCTATCTTTTTATGTTTCTGGCTTATATGGAGTAAGACTGTAATCATTTAATTCTAAAAACCAATAAAAATTGCTAAGAGAAAACTGATTAGTGAAGGCTCTTGAATTCTTTTTATGATCCCTAAGGTGATGAATGTGATTTATCAGCTGCCTTAAATCCTTTTGGAAACAAGGCAGGTCATAAATAATAAAATATGATTTGGAAGAGATATCTCTTTCCAGAATGTCTATATTGACTGAAATATGGCCATTATTAGCCTCATTACAATGGGTCTCTTTGTTGGCTTCCACCAAAGATCCTGTTTCAGTGATGAATTCATGTGGGAAAGTTCCCTTGTCTCATTTCACAAAGAAAATACAGATTATATCAAATTCTGCCACATTGTGTATTGTCTAAGAAAGGAACATTCTTTTTATATCTTGCTTATGTAGATTGCAATGATTAAAGTGGCCACCCCTCGGGCCGTCTGCAAAATTATTGACCGGGCGATCCAAGTGTGTGGAGGTGCAGGTGTTTCCCAGGATTACCCTCTGGCTAACATGTAAGTAGATGTCACTTAGTAATCATCTACATTTGACAGGCTTGGAATGGAATTAAAAATCTACAGCTGCCTTGACCCTAATTGTTTCACAAGAAAAGAAAGATACTAAAAATATAATTCAAGGCTAAATGAGGTAATATAGGTACCCAGCACCAATAAATAGTTGCTCTTATGATTACAGTTATCATTTCGCTCAATGATGTTAACTTTTACACCGAGGGGGTCCATTGGGGTTCATGAGCTAGTGAGGAAATGGCACTGGGGGTTCACCCTGAAACCAGAATGATCATACAGGAGCACACATGGCAGAGGGCACCCAGAGCCAGGCTTGGGTATGTCCTTAGGACTGTGTGCCACCTCCACAGGGATGCCTCAGGCCAGTGACCATCTCATGTCCAGATTCTGGTTGCTGGGAGTCAAGGAACACTCTGCAGTGCTCGTCACCGCACAGTGCCCCTGCCACCTTCTTTCCCACACTGGAGACAGAAGTCTGGTGCCACACCAGTTTTTCCCATCAATTTTTAACCGTAAGAACTAAATATCTGGTACTACATATGTCTAGTATATAAGTATTACATATTTATACTTCACTCCCTGTGGCTTACCTAAGATATCTCTTAGTTCTAGCAACTTCTAGAACCCTAAAGCAAACCAAGACTGAGATTAAGCCCATTGCACTGAGCCATTTAAGATTCCTCTCCCCAAAGTGAGAACTTTCGGTGGCATTTCACGTGCCCTTGGACTTAACTCTCCTTGATTCTCTCTGTGCTCTTTTTCTTATCACTGCCTTGGCAAGATTTCAAAAATGAATAGTCTTGGCTTAGAGTCACAGTGACTGATGTTAAAGTATCATGTTCCTCGTTGATAACTCCTGCCATTCCTGCTCCTTTTAGGTATGCCCTAACACGGGCTCTGCGCTTAGCAGACGGGCCCGATGAAGTGCACCTCTCGGCAATCGCAGCGATGGAGCTGCGGGACCAAGCCGGAAGCGTGAGGTCCAAGGTGTAGGAGGCGGCAGTGTCTCACCTTTACACAGACGTCACTGCCGCTAGCATTTGCACCGGTTTGAGCGCAGGATTAATTACTCATTTTCAGTAAACATTTGAGCATCTGTTTTGATCACTAGGTTTTATCATTCAAGGGTCACAAAGGTTTAAGTTAAATATGAAATTCTATAGCTGCCATCGTTCAGTCTATTACCTATGTGTTGAGCCTTTATTTTTAAAACATGCAACTTGTAAAGAAATAACGAAGTAAACTGGAGAGCTAAAGCATAGGCCTAAAAATATTTTCACTTTTTGATTCCCAGGATCTGTTCCATTTAAATAAATATTCAAGGAGTCATTGCTCTGTAAAAAATATGGTGGGATGTCCTTTCTAACGCTGGTTGTAGGGGGTGGCTTAACACTTTGTAGGACCATAGTGTTTGCACTGGAGAAAGATGCATGACTGAATCATTTTAGAATTCGTATAAGCCTCTTCATAATTCAACAGAAAGCATTTATACATAAAATCTGAATGCATTTTAAAGTTTACTAGAAAACATGGCCCATTATGAGAAAACATAATTAAGAAGGTTTTTAATTATGTATAATATATTGATGAGCACAGTGGATAGTTTAAGCTACAAGAAAGTTATTTAGTTTTGAGAAGAGATTACAAACCATCTGTTCTGAATGCCATCCGGTTAATATCAACACCCTAAGCAAACATCCTGCGGCTCTTTAAATCAGTGCTGCCCAGTACAGTGGCCACTGGCCACATGTGACTCTTGAGCACTTTAATTGTACCTAGTACAACTGAGGAACTTTTGATTGTGTAAAATTTTAATTAAATATCGATTCTTAACTAAGTTAACTAGAAAACTTTTAAGTATGCTCGCAATAACTTGGGTATGTGAATTGACTTTTTCAAATGTAAATTTTATGAAATCTAAATATGGAGCAAGTATTTTGCCTGGAAATTTAGCATCCAAATTAAGAAACAAAGTAAATGTGAAATACATACCAAATTTTGAAGACTTAGTGTGAGAAAAAAGTAAAATATCTCATCAATACTTTTTAAGTAGTGATTATATATGGAAATAAAATGTGGATGTAAGGCATACCTTGTTTTATTGTGCTTCACTTTTTGCACTTCTTACAAATCAAAGGTTTATGGCAACTCTGCATCAAGCAACTCAGCACCATTTTTCCAACAGCATTTGCTCACTTCATTTCTCTGTGTCACATTTTGGTAATCCTTGCACTATTTCAAACTTGTTCATTATTATTATATTTGAATTGCTGCAATCTCATGATAAAACTTGAACAGATGAGGAGTTGCTTCTTATGGATGAGCACAGAAAGTCGTTTCTTGAGGTAGAATCAACTCCTGGGGAAGATGCTATAAGGACTGTTGAAATGACAAAGATTTAGAATATGATATAAACTTAGTTGATAAAGCAGTGGCAGGATTTCAGAGGTTTGACTCCGATTTTGAAAGTTCTGCTGTGGGTAAAATGCTATCAAATAGCATCACACGCTACAGAGAAATAGTTCATGAGGAAAAGAGTCAATTTGTGCAGCAAACTTCATTGTCATATTTTTAAAAATTGCCCCAGCCAGGCCAACCTTCAGCAACCACCACCTTGGTCAGTGAGCAGCCATCAACATGGAGGCAAGACCCTCTACCAGGAAAAAGATTGTGACTCACTGAAAGTTCACGTGATGGTTAGCATATTTTTTTTACCAAAAAAAGTATTTTTTTTAAGATTTTATTTTTAGGGGCGCCTGGGCGGCTCTGTTGGTTAAGTGTCTGCCTTCAGCTCGGGACATGATCTCAGCATCCTGGCACAGAAACTGGGTTCTGATTCCTGTGTGTCACATGGGCCTCCTAAACTCCTAAATTTGCCTTTGATCCTTAACCTCTCTGCATCTCATTTTTCTTTCTGTACCCTGGGATTAACTATTAAATCCAGAGGACCCTTAACCTACTGAGGGTTTATTGTGACAATCACTGAAGCCATGTAGAAGCACTCAGGTATTTCTGAACCACAGTATTTTTATAAGGTATCCTCATTTGAAGCAGATAAAATCTTATAACCCAAGCTATAGAACCTTATTTCTAGTTTTAAAAGTTGTGACTTAGAAGAAATCAGGATTTTTTTCTGAACAATTAAAATTAAAGGTTATGTGTTGTACTTAAAATTTTGTGATAATTTTTTCCTGTGCCTTTGAGGAAAACTGGCTAAATTGCTGGCTGACATTTCAATTCATCTATTTTTATTTATGTCTGCCATAAACACAGCCATCCCTAAGGCAAGTCACTCCATGTGGCCGATATTCACTTCTCTTCCCTAACTTTCATTTTTTAGATACGACATTATAAAGAATAATATGGGTTGTTTTGAAAAGAAAATTCCAGTCTCCAAAGAATGAAAAGATCAAGGGACGCTTTGCCTCAGCCACGGTGAACGGATGGACTGACTCTAAGTGTGGGAGCTCAGAGCCATTTCTAGGATGTCATCAGGCTGTCCCTGGGAGTCACTGTGCAGCAGTACACCCGGGACGGTCAGCCAGGTTTGCCGTGCTCCCTGGTTCCGAAAGGACAAGTTGCCCTCTATAATAACCACCCGGCAGGAGGGCAGGAAGAAGGAGAGCTCACCAGGCACTGCTTTACCCAGCAAGACCTCGCCAAGATTTGCATTTGGTCAGCAGCAGGGAGGACGGGCCCCGTGACAGCCTGGCAGGGAAGTTCCCAGGAGGCTCCCGACAAAAGCGGTCATGGAAGTTGTGGCAGTGCTTGTCCCGCGGTGTAGCCAGTTAAGGATCTCTTTGATAGTTGATATTTTAACCTTAGCAACATACAGCAGAAAGTATAATCATGAAGGAGCAGATTTTCTCATCAACCTGTGATTATTTACAGAGGCTTCCCCAGGTCCGCATCACCCTAGCTCTTCCCGAACTGTGGTCTACTTACATGTCCTAGGCATGCCCATTTTTTGTCCAGGAGAACCAGAGTACCTGAAAAGCAGCAAAGTCCATGGCAGCATTTAAGTATTTTATTATTTTTTTCAATTATTTTTATTTCAAGTTTTCATATAAATTCTAGTTAGTAAAAAAATCTAGTTAACATATGGTGTAATACTGGTTTCAGGAGTAGAATGTAGTGATTCATCATTTATATATAACACCCAGTGCTCATCACAACAACTGCCCTCCTTAATGCCCATCACCCAGTTATCCCATCCCCCACCCACCTCCCTCCATCATCCTCAGTTTGTTCTCTATCCTAAAGAGTCTCTTATGGTTTGCGGCCCTCTTTTTTTCCCCCTTCCCCTATGTTCATCTGTGTTGTTTCTTAAATTCTACATGAGTGAGATCATATGGTATTTATCTTTCTCTGACTTGTTGTGCTTAGCATAACACTCTCTAGATCCATCTGTGTCGTTGCAAATGGCAAGATTTCATTCTTTTTGATGGCTGAGTAGTATTCCATTATATACATATACCACTTCTTCTTTATCCATTCATCAGTTGGTAGACATTTGGGCTCTTTCCATAATTTGGCTATTGTTGATAATGCTACTATAAACATCAGGGTTTGTGTGCCCCTTTGAATCTGGTATCCTTTGGATAAATACCTAGTAGTGCAGTTGCTGGGTCATAGGGTAGCTCTATTTTTAACTTTTTGAGGAACCTCCATACTGTCTTCCAGAGGGGTTGCACCAGCTTGCATTCCCACCAACAGTGTAGGAGGGTTCCCCTTTCTCCGCAACCCCGCCAGCATCTGTTGTTTACTGTGTTGTTGATTTTAGCCATTCTGACTGGTGTGGGGTGGTGTCTCATTGAGATTTGGATTTGGATTTCCCTGATGCCGAGTGACGTTGAACACTTTTCATGTGTCTCTTGGCCATGTGTCTTCTTTGGAAAAATGTCTGTTCATGTCTTCTGCCTGTTTCTTAACTAGATTATTTTTTGGGTGTTGAGTTTGATAAGTCTTTATAGGTTTTGGATGCTATCCATTTATCCAATATATCATTTGCAAATATCTTCTCCCATTCCATAGATTGTCTTTTAGTTTTGTTGTTTCCTTTGCTGTGCAGAAGCTTTTTATCTTGATGAAGTCCCAGTAGCTGATTTTTGCTTTCGTTTCCCTTGCCTCTGGAGTCGTGTCTAGTAAGAAGTTGTTATGGCCGAGGACGAAGAGATTGCTGCCTGTGTTCTCCTCTAGGATTTGGAAGGTTTCCTGTCTCACATTTAGGTCTTTCATCCATTTTGAATTTATTTTTGTGTATGGTATAAGCAAGTGGTCCAGTTTCATTCTTCTGCATGTTGCTGTCCAGTTTTCCCAACACCATCTGAGACTGTCTTTTCCATTGGATATTCCTTGCTGCTTTGTTGAAGATTAATTGACCGTAGAGTTGTGGGTTCATTTCTGGGTTTTCTATTCTGTTCCACTGACCTGTGTCTCTGTTTTTATGCCAGTACCATACTGTCTTGATGATTATAGCTTTGTAATAGAGCTTGAAGTCCAGGATTGTGATGCCTCCAGCTTTATGTTTCTTTTTCAAGATTGCTTTGGCTATTTGGGGTCTTTTGTGGTTCCATACAAATTTTAGGATTGTTCTAGCTCTGTAAAATATGCTGGTGGTACTTTGATACGGATTGTATTAAATGTCTAGATTGTCTTGGGTAAGCATTTAAGTTTTTTTTTTTTTAAGATTTCATTTATTTGAGAGAAAGAGAGCACAAGCAGGGTGGAGGGGCAGAGGGTGAGGGAGAAGCAGGCTCCCCACTGAGCAGGGAGCCCGATCCCAGGACTCTAAGATCATGACCTGAGCCTAAGGCAGACACTTAACCGACTGAGCCACCCAGGCACCCCAGCATTTAAGTATTTTAATAGAAAAGTTGCATAAGGCTTGCAAAAAGAAAAAAAAAAAAACTTTTCTCAGCGTTTCGTGAATTAAGATACAACAGATTCTGGGAAGTTCAGAAGGAAGGCACTTTTTACCCAGGCTTCTGAAGGGATTTAAATTAGTAAAGGTCTTAAGTAAATGATATTATAAGGTGAAATGTATTTAAGAAAATGTCTGCTATGGACAAATGCCCTCTTTCAATCAAGCCAGGTAGCCTTGGCCAGGCTTCTTTCATGGGCATTTGATGATCCCTCCCCAAGGAGCAGACTACAGGGGGTACACCAATCAGTGGGCCCTCCTGTTAGCACTTTGGGCCAGTGTTTGTCTGCTGCAAGTCTTTTCCACCATTTCTTTTGCCTGAATTACCATGGTAGTCCAAATGGGCTTCTAGATTGTTCTCACAGCAGTCAGCGTGACCCTCTCAAAATGTCCCAGTGGCTTTGCATCTCATTTAGAATAAAATCCAGAGTCCTTGTCATGGCCAACAAGGTTCCATCTGAGCTTGTCCCCTGACACTGTCTGAGCTCATCCCCTGGCTCCCTCCCTTCATTATGGCTTCCTGTACGCTGTTCCAACATGCAACCCCAGCCAGGCCTCTGAGGCTTACTGTTTTCTCTGCTTGAAAAGATCTAACCTGAGATTTCCAGATGCCTGCTCACAAGTCACCTTAGCAAAGACTCCTTTCTTGACTACTTGCTCTAAATTAGCACCACATGCTCTGTCATTCTCCACCTCTGTATCTGCCATTCTCTTCTCACAGTACTTAACACCTGGCATATTTCATATCTACGTATTTATGGTCTGCTCAATATCATGTAAGCACCACTTTTCCCTTCCTGTAGTCACTTATTTCACCTATTTTGTGTACTGGGGTTCTCCTCAGTGCTTGGAACCATGCCTGGCCTCTAGTAAGCACTCAAAAAAAGGATGGATGGATGGGCATGGATGACCCCTGATATGTAATTGGTGAGGGAGCAAAGGATTTACATATAGGCCCTCAGATGGATCAGAACAGAAGCTTAAGCTCTGGCGCATGAACACAGACCTAGAATGGGTTACACGTAGCCGGAGAGGACTTGGATAGGTGCACAGCAGTTTGGGCAAACCAGGTGATGAAATGTTTGATGAGTATTTAACAATCCAGGGGAATGCACACACTTTTGAAATTTTCCTGCTTTCCAATCCAATCTAATCAGCCAGAGTGCTGTGACCAGCTCTCCATACAAAGGGAGGTCAGGACTCCTAAGAAAAATAAAACCACTGTTGGTGATCGCTAGAATTTCCAAGTTTCCAAATAAACAGGATTCTGGGAAATGTCCTCACTTAATTCAGGACAAAGAGCATTTAGGGTTTGTGACCCCACCTCAATATTTTTCTTTCTCTTTTTTTAAGTATCTCTCATTATGTGTTTATCATGAAGAAAATCCACACACATTCTAGTGTAAGTGTGTGGTGTGATAAGCTCTGCGAAACAAGGGCTTGTCTCTGCCTTATCTTCACCGAAAACGTGTGAACAAAGAGTGATTATCCTGGAGTGCTGCCTCTCCCTCAGGATAGCACTTCAGCAGCACTCCTTCCCTGCTGGGCTGATGGCTACCACCACCCCAGTGAAAACTGTTTCACTTTTTCAAAATGGGTGAAGATGGAGATTGCAGATGCCTCTTTCACCCAACACCTTACCTCTGACTTCAGTTTCTACCATTCTTTTTCCTTACCCCAGTCAACCACATTGGTCTTCTGCTGTTTCTCCAGTATCCCAGACTTTTTTTTTCTTAAATTAGAAGTATTTGTTTCTTATTAAAATAGGGTCTTCTCATGTCCATCGACGGATGAATGGATAAAGAAGAGGTGGTATATATACACAATGGCATATTATGCAGCCATCAAAAGGAAGGAGATCTTGCCATTTGCAACGACATGGATGGAACTGGAGGGTGTTATGCTGAGTGAAATAAGTCAATCAGAGAAAGACATGTATCATATGACCTCACTGATATGAGGAATTCTTAATCTCAGGAACAAACTGAGGGTTGCTGGAGTGGTTGGGGGTGGGAGGGATGGGGTGGCTGGGTGATGGACATTGAGGAAGATATGTGCTATGGTGAGCGCTGTGAATTGTGCAATACTGTTGAATCACAGATCTGTACCTCTGAAACAAATAACGTAACATATTTTAAGAAAAAAGAAAAAGAAGAAGATAGCAGGAGAGGAAGAATGAAGGGGAGTAAGTCAGAGGGGGAGACGAACCAGGAGAGACGATGGACTCTGAAAAACAAACTGAGGTTTCTGGAGGGGAGGAGGGTGGGGGGATGGGTTAGCCTGGTGATGGGTATTGAGGAGGGCACATTCTGCATGGAGCACTGGGTGTTATGAACAAACAATGAATCATGGAACAGTACACCAAAACAAATTATGTAATATATGGTGATTAACGTAACAATAAAAAATTTAAAAAAAAATAGGGTCTTCTCATGAGGATGGAATGTGCAAGAGAGGCTTCCTGGGTTTCCTCATCCCAGCAGGCTGAGGCTCTCCATTCAAAACTTTTCTCCCTGTGTAGGAAGGAAAGTTCCCCACCTACTCCTGGGAAATTAGGCTACTCTAATTTTACTTTTGATTCTTTGTATGCATTAAGGGAAAAAAGAAATCAAAACAAAACTATTAACAGGCTATCTGTCCCTAAGCACATATGCTCAGTCCAGGGGTGGGCCTCAAGTCCCCATCTCCACGTGCTGGCCAGGATTAGATGGTACCCTAGAAATAAGGTGTTCCTGGCTAGGGATCAAAGAAGACCCTAGCTCCCAGTCACCTGGTTGAAAATATGCATAGCACCTTCAATGAGAGTCTGAGATTCCCTCTTTAGCAAGGAGTACTCTGGGTATAGTAGGGCAGGGCTCTGGCCACAGGTGGTATCTGGTCTAGAAGCTACTGACTCCATTTCCTAATCCTCTTGAGATTCTTTAAGTTGACAAGGAGTGAACACAAATTCCAAAATGACACACCAAGCTATACAAGACTGAAGAAGTCATTAAGGCAACAGTCTCCCCAGCTCCATGCACAGAACTCTGACCCCACCATCCCCCTCCTTTCACCCTTCAGGACCATCTAGTCCTGCCCAACACTTCTCAGTGGCAGCTTCCAGCATGCAGAAGCCCTGAGCAGCCTTCACCCTCACAAGTTAGGAGTGGACTAATCAAGGAACTTTATGCCAACTTCAAGTCCAAGGTCCTACCTCAAGCTCTCTGCACTTGCTTTTCTGTTTGCCTAGAAAGCTTTCCCCACCCCATATTCTCAAGGCTTCCTCCCTTCCTGAAAATGTGACATTCTAGGTTTTCCTTCTGTGATCATCCCATGAAAATTTCTATGCCCTTCCAACTCTCTCTCTCTCTCTCAGCTTACCCCCATCCCCGGTTTGGTTTTGTTCTTAGAACTGTCACCATGTAACATACTATGTATCTTTTTTTTTTTTTTATTTGGCTTATTGCGCCTTTTCCCCCACTAAAAAGTATGCTTTAGCTAAGAGAGATTTTTGTTTTGCTCACTGTTCTACCCTTGGTATATAGGACAGTGCTTGAAGCATACATAATAGAGCCTCAATAAATATTTGTTGAATGCATGGAATTCTTCCAGCTGCAGGAGAGCAGGGATCCCGGGAAGTTTGTTTAACCTCTATATCAGAAGTGTGATAGCATAGGCTCATGTTTGCTCACCGGCCATACGGATGCTTAAAAGATCTAAAGCTAAGCTTCTCAATCCTAGCTGAGCATCAGAATCCCCTGAGGAGCTTGAGAGAGACTCAGCCACCCCAGCGACTGTGTGACTTCAGTGGTAACAAGGTATACCAGGGATTTTTGTGAAACAAGGGGTTGAGGGTAGAGACTCACTTCCTGATCAGGTCTGTTAGGGTGTTTGGCGGTAAACACCAGAAAGAAACTGGCTAACGCGAGCAAAAGGGAATTTGTTAGGTGGGTGTGGGCGTGGAAGACTAAGAAGTCTGAGGATCTCGCCAAGACACAGGTAGGAGAAGCAACCCCTGCCATGGCTTTACCTTCCTCCAGCCTGCCCACCGTTTCTCTGTCCTTGCCATGCGTGCTTGGGCTCCGAGGAGCATTTGGTTGGCCAAACTCAGGTTATACTTCCACCCCAGCCTGTCCTCGAAAAGGAAGAGAGAAGGGAAACATAATTCAAGCCACATGTGTAATTAATTTTAAATTTTCTGATGCCACATTAAAAAAAGTAAAAAGCAACATGTGAAGTTAATTTTAACAATATACTTTGTTTACCCTAATATATCCACATATTACCATTTCAACATATAATCAACATAAAAAAATTATCAAGATATTTTATGCTTTTCCCCCCGAAATCTCTAGAGTATATTTTAAATTTACAACACATCTCAATTTGGAGGCTAAATTTTCAGTGGAAGTACATGAAAAGTTAATTGTATGTAAATTTCCAAAAGTTTACAGTTTTACAGTTAAAAAGGTATTTTCACATATTTAAATTGTACCAAACATATTTAAAATTTTTCAAAAACTGAATTGAGCATCAGTTTTTAAATAAGTTAGAGGGAGGTCCAAGATGGCAGCATAGGAAGATCCTGAACTCACCTCCTCACATGGACACACCAAATCCACAGCTACATATGAATCATTTCCTTCTGAGAAAGATCTGAAAAAATAGATGAACTGCTGTCTACAACAAAGAATAGAAGGACCACATCAAGATGAGTAAGAGAAGCAGAGGCATGGTTGGAAAACAAAACAAAAACAAAAAACCGCCCCCCAGTGTGGTGACCCACAAAAGGGTGGGATCTGGAGGAGTGAGGGGTTGGTGCCCCACATTGGGCACCCCAGAAAGTTGAGACCCCAGAACATCTGGCTTGGAAAGCCAATGGGACTGATTTCTTGGGGTCCCAAAGTGCTAGAGGAAACCGAGATTCCCCTTTTAGAGGGCTGATAGGCAGCTTCACTCACTCTAGACCCAGTGGAAAAAACCAGCAGCTGAAAAGCACCTAGACAAATGTGTGAGGAGATTCGCATGCTAATGTGGAGGCATTGGCTGGAGGATGCCTGGAGGGTCCTGGCACTGCTGATGCCAGAGAGTGCCAGCAGTTGCAATGGTCTCCCACTCCCAGCCTAAAGTTGGCACAAATGTACAGACAAGGCACTCTCCTGCTACACTGCTGAAACCCAGGGTGACACACAGTAAAGGTATTTTCCCTCTGCATTTCTGAAGCCAGCAAGTATGGCCCATCCCCTACATTCTCCAGCTGCCTCACTAAAGCCTGCAGGCTTATGAAAACCACATAAGGGGATGCCCCTTGATTGCGTGACCCTGGTGGCCGAGATGGCTGGTATCCTGGAGCTCCACAGGACTATTAGAAAGACAGTTGTTGGCAGTCCACCAACCCCGGGCACTGCACAGACAGCAAACTGAAACACAACTCCAGTCTTCCTATAAAAAAGGCCTATTTACAGGGCGCCTGGGTGGCTCAGTCATTAAGCATCTGCTGTTGGCTCATGTCATGGTCCCAGGGTCCTGGGATCGAGCCCCGCATTGGGCTCCCTGCTCAGCAGGAAGCCTGCTTCTCCCTCTCCCACTCCCCCTGCTTGTGTTCCCTCTCTCACTGTGTCTCTCTCTCTCTATCAAAAAATACATAAAATCTTTAGAAAAAAAAAGGTCTATTTACTTAGTCTAGAGCTTCAGCCTCAGGCACAGGCTGAAGGATTCCCATACATCTGGAGGGTAAGAAGGCACTATCAGGGAGATACCATCCTTGCACACCCCTCAGCCTTGCTACAGCAGGTGAGAATTCTCAGAAAGGAGATTATACACTTGTCTGAAGCCCCAGTTTTTTGCAACTGTTGCCCTAGAGACACTTCTGGATCTTAGTCTGGAGGCGAACAGGAATTACAATTGCCCCAGAAGACTCTACATATTTGTATATCTTAAAAGCTGCTGTCTGAGGTCTGGCTTCTGATCAGCCTAAAACTGGGTGCTAAGATTCCTTTTCTTGGATCACTGACAGGTCTTGGCATACTCTCAATAATAGGCACATATCAAGAATAAATAGGTGGTTTAGACAATTACATAGGTTCAAGAGACAACCAGGAGCTTGAACAAGGTTGAACAAGAAGGATAATCATCACACAAGGGCCCTCCATCAAGACTGAGAGAAGTAGCTGTTTTGACTAATACATAGAAACAAACACGGAGAGTCAAACAAAATGAGGAAACAGAGATATGTTTCAGAGAAAAGAGAAAGACAAAAATCTCAGAAAAAGACCTTAATGATATGGAGATAAGTAATCTACCTAAAAAGAATTCAAAGTAAAGGTCATAAAGATGCTCACCCAACTCAGGAGAATAATGGATGAACACAAATGAGAACTTCAACAAAAAGATAGAAAATATAAGTACTAAACAGAAGTCACAGAGCTGAAAAGTACAATAATTGAACAGTGTATTTACACTGGAGGGGTTGAACAGCAGACTAGATGAAGTAGAAGAATGGATCAGCAAAAGGGAAAAGAAAGCAGTGTAACTCACACTAAACAGCAGCAAAAAGAAAAAAAGAATTTTCAAATTTTTTAAAGGATTTATTTATTTTAGAGAGAAAGAGAATGCATGAGTACAGTGGGGAAGGGTGGAGGGAGAGAACATCCCCAGCAGATTCCTCACTGAGCACAGAGCAGGGCTCAATCTCATGACCCTGAGGTTACAACCTGAGCTAAAACCAAGAGTTGGATGCTTAACCCACTGTGCCACCCAGGTGCCCTGTGAAAAAAGAATTTTTTAAAAAGTGAAGATAATTTAAGGGATCTGTGGAAAAACATTAAGGAAAATAACATGCACATTACAGGGGTTCCAGAAGGAGGAGAGAGAAAAAGGGGCAGAAAACTATTTAAAGAAATAATGTATGAAAACTTCCCTAACTTAGGGAAGGAAACAGACAACCAGGTCTAGGAAACCCAGAGAATTCCAAATAAGATGAACCCAAAGAGAGCCACATTATAATTAAAAATAAGACACATTCGGGGTGCCTGGGTGGCTCAGTTGGTTAAGGGTCTGCCTTCGGCTCTGGTCATGATCTCTGGGTCCTGGGATCAAGCCCCGCACTGGGCTTCCTGCTCAGCAGGGAGTCTGCTTCCCTCTCTCTCTCTCTCTTTCCCTCCCTCTGCCCCTCCCCACTACTTGTTTTCTCTCAAATAAAAAATTTTTTAAAAAGATATAATTAAAATGTCAAAAATTAAAGCAGCAAAACTTTTTTTTACATACAAAGAAAACCCTATAAGGTATGAGCAGATTTCTCAGCAGAAACTTTGCAAGCGAGAAGAAAGTGGCATGACAGTCAAAGTACTAAAGGAAAAACTGTACAACCCAGAATACTCTACCCAGCAAGGTTATCATTTAGACTTCAAGGAGAAATCAAGAGTTTTCCAGAAAAACAAAAAATATGGGGCACTTAGGTGGCTCAGTCGGTTAAGTGTCAGACTCTTGATTTAGGCTCAGGTCATAATCTCAGGGTCATGAGATTGAGTGAGTCCTGCGTCAGGCTCCGTGCTCAGTGCCAAGTCTGCTCGAGATTCTCCCTCTCCTTCTGCTCCCCACTTCTAAAATAAATAAATAAATAAAATCTTTAAAAAAAAATAAAAGATTCATCACTACTAAACCAAACTTACAAGAAATATTAAAGGGATTTCTTTAGGCTGAAAAGAAATGGCACTATTTAATAACAAGAAAACATTAAGATAAAAATCTCACTGGCAAAGGTAAATAGTAAAGATAGTGGGTTAATCACTTATAAAGCTACTAATATGTTAAAAGACAAAATTAATTAAATCAACTAAAATTACAGTAATTACTTAAGGGATACATTTAAAAGGATGTAAAAAGTATATCAAAATGGGCGCCTGGGTGGCTCAGTCGTTAAGTGTCTGCTTTCGGCTCAGGTCATGATCCCAGGGTCCTGGGATGGAGCCTCTCATTGGGCTCTCTGCTTGGCAGGAAGCCTGCTTCTCCCTCTCCCACTCCCCATGCTTGTGTTCCTGCTCTCGCTGTGTCTCTCTCTGTCAAATAAATAAATAAAATCTTTTAAAAAAAAAAGTGACATCGAAACATAAAATTTGGGGGAGGGGAGTAAAAATGTAGAGTTTTTTGGGTGTGTTCAAATATGTTACCATGCCTTAAAACAGACCATTATGTACATAGGATGATATATGTGAACCTCATGGTAATCACAAAGCAAAAACCTATCACAGATACACAAAAGAAAATGAGAAAGGAATCTAAACAGAACACTAAAGAAAGTCATCAAACCACAAGAGGAAAGAGAAAAAGGAAAAGAAAGGAATGAGGGGAAAACTACAAAAATAGCCAGAAAACAATTAATAAAATGACAGTAGTACATACCGAACGATAATTACTTAAACCGTTGCTGAGAAGATGGCAGAGTAGGAGGATGCTAAGCTCCCCTCTTCCCACAGACACGTCTAGATAACAGCCACATCAGTACACCCAGCCTAGAAAATGACCAAAAGACTGCCAGAACAGACTTTCCATAGCTAATCATAGAAAGGAGGCCATATCGAAAAGGAGGGGTGTGGATGTGGTCAGAAACCAAACTCCCAGCAAGAATAGCCCCAAACAGGAGGAATAGACACCACAAGCACAGAGCAGGGAGAGAAGCAGACCCCACCTCAGGCACCCCAGGCCAAGAGGACCTGCATTGAGAAGATAAGTCCCCATACTATTTGGCTTTGAAAACCAGTGAGACTTAAGGGTTTTGTTTTTGTTTTTGTTTTGTTTTACAACCAGCAGGGCTTAACTCCAGGTACTTTAAAAATCAGTGAACTTGCCTCTGGCAGAGCGAGTGGGCAATAGGAAACTGACCCCCCCACCTTAAAGAAACTGCATAACAAACAACCTACCAAGATACAGCATAGAAGCAGTAGTTTGAAAAACACCTGGGGTATTCACAAAAGAGATTTATTTACTTATCTCAGAACTGGTGCTGGAGGGGCAGGGATCTTTAGGAGACTTCTCTATGAACAAAAGAGCTGGTGACATTTCTCTGCCCTACCTCCTCCCCAAGCCTAGATAGCTGGACATCTGTAGGAACCAGCACAAACACTCCCTACCTGCCTTACTAACACCGTGCAACCTGCCCCTGCAGATCGGCCCCATCCAACCCCTTCCCCCCAACTAGGCAGGAGTCCCTCCAAAGTTGTGTCTGTTGTGTCTCATCCTTCAAGCAGCTCTGGAAGAGACCAGCAACATTCCAAAGTGACCCCTGCCTTGGAGAGAGGGGAAGATAGCCACATATTCCAGTTTGTATTCACAACAGCTGAACCTTCTGCCACAAAAATAAGTCTCAATAAATTCAAAAAGACTGAAATCACATCATGCATCTTTTTTTTTAAGATTTTATTTTTTTATTTGACAGAAAGAGAGACAGCGAGAGAGGGAACACAAGCAGGGGGAGTGGGAGAGGGAGAAGCAGGCTTCCTGCGGAGCAGAGAGCCAATGCGGGGCTTGATCCCGGGACCCTGGGATCATGACCCGAGCCAAAGGCAGACGCATAAGGACTGAGCCACCCAGGTGCCCCTCATGAATCTCTTCTGACCACGATAGTATGAAACTGGAAATCAATCACAAGA